TATGGAGGTGTACATGGCTCCAACGAGAGTAATCCTACTTCTCCTAAGAACCGTATTCTATCTCTAACTGTATTTCAAGATCTTACGGTATCTCTTGCTAATTAGATAATTATGGCAAATAAGTGAGAATGCATTATGATTGGCAGCTATAATTCCCTAGTTTTTTCTCATCAACATATTTTTTTTGACGGAACTCATCAGCATATATTTACGTGGCACAAAAAGATGGGAGGACCTGTGACAAAGCAGAACACCATCCAAGTATGAGAGCAGTGAAATACCTTATCTTTTAGGGGGGAGCTTGGCGTGGCAAACCGAACTTTCTTCTTCAGCGAATCCATCTTACTGCCATCTGACTTGCCATCTTCGATCTGCTTCTTGAGGCGCTGATACTCGATGCTATCCAAGATATCTTCGGCTTCATAGATAGCAGATTTAAGCTTGTCTAACAGTGGCTCCAAACGAACCCTGTAAGTGCTCTCATCGACTACTTCCATCACCCGCAGCAGTTGTAAAACTTGTATATCAACTATCTTCAGTTTCTCTGTCGCGTTAAAGTCGAGGAGGGCGAAAGCTTTGTTGAGGAGTCTGGGAATGATGGGTGAGGCGAGCCAACCTACCGCACTTACGCCCCATCCTACAGCAGCACTAAGGGTAATTGGATCCACCATTGCAAGCTTTGGGAGAGGGGAGAGAAGTCTAGGCAGGCTGGAAGATCAATATGTACATAGATCTTGGCCAATGCAACCGGTGACCTTGAAGATAGCTAGGATACATAAACAAGTACCAGTTGAGAGAGATGCTTTGAATGGGACTACATTGTTTCCTACTGTTTGCTTTATAATATAGGCATATGGATCTCAACACGCATATACACTACTGAGTCTTCTGTAGACTTATGAAATGATAGTAATCAACTTATAATCTGTGTACTGGGCTACTGGCCACGTGGCATCTGTGGTAAGCTGTCATAAAAGGAATCCAAAAAAAATATCATCTCTTCACTGTGGCTTTGTGAAATGATAGTTGGTGTACACAACTCAGTCTTCTTAAGACTTTGTAACAAGTAATAACAATGAATAACTATCCTCCTAAGGGAGAAGAAACAAAAGCATAATGCATAAACAACTAAAAGTTTCATGAACTAAGCTGAATAACCAAACTAGAAGTTTTCCTCACTGCTAAAATGCATAAACAAGTAGTAGACAGGTACAGAGGCATCTGACCTAACCCTCTCGTGCCTAGTTGTTTGCTTTATCTTATAACCAACTAGCATAATAGTGTACATGCTAGGATAGTTGACCTTGAAGACAGAGACGGTAGGAAGTTTCCTGTCAGGTTCTCTTACAGGACGTGTCAGTTTCATCATCTTATCATTGGTCTGAGAATTAATGCTGACCACGCAACACGGTACAGTCTTGGTAAGGACGAATGATAATCAGGTATACTATCTATCTATATCTACTCTGCCAGTCTGCCTTATTCCAAGTTTCCAACCAATGAAAAAGTTCCAGCAAAATTACTCCTAAACTAATCAGTACAAGAACGAGACAGATGAAGTTTCTGGGAAAAAGGATCCAGTCGATATACACCTCCACCATGATGGAATTCGAAGGCCTCTAAAAAATGTGAGAATTAATAACTAATCCAGAAGTAAAGCAAACAGGAATGAAAGGATTGTCCGAGTCCGAGAACTGCGCTGACCTGCCGGAGACCTGTGTCATCGGCGTTGCCGTAGATTGCTGGAGTTTCTGGCGGCGAACTGCCTCCGGCCACCGGATCGAATCCCCGACGCCGCCGCCGCCGAGCAGCGTCGGAGCCATCGGTGGTCTTCCCACGCCGCCACTATGGACTATGATGGAGATTTTTTTCTTGAGGCAAGACTTTGACGGAGATAACGGAAGTTTGTGGTCCGGGCGGCCCGCTCGAACCACGTCTTATGCCACTTGGGCTGGCCCGGTTAGAGTATCACACACATCTTTCTTTTCTTTTTGTATTTGCTCCGCTTTCTTCTGTTTCTGCTAGTAAGTACGCCCGTGCATTGCAACAAGAGTCAAAATTTTGTAACCCAATTAGAGAGAAAAAAAATCTGTGTGTGTGTGTGTGTGTGCGCGCGCGCGTGTGTGTTGCACACAAAGTCCTTTTAGACACTGATGCTTCCTCGTGTTCGACGATAGGTCGAAAATCCGTCTATGCATCTGAGCTCATCTGCTCTCGAGTTATAGTAAATTCAGAAAGAAATAGTAGAACAATTAAAAAACCGTTCTCTTTTTTGCATGGAAGATGTTCAAGTGTGTGATGTCCGGGCAAAAATTCATCCTATTTTGAAATCTAAGGAGCTCGTGGCAAAAAAAAAAGGAAAATCGGTCCGAACAGTGCACGAAAAGTAAACTTACTCACATAGCCGAATTTTGTCATTTTTGTCGCACCCTCCTCGCATGTCCAAACACCACCAAATTTTGCACGAATATCACACACACGAGCATCTTGCTTGCATTTTTTATTTTTTTATTTTTTCTGTTTTTAGTGATTTTGGATTTTGCCCAGGCTCATCTGAGTGCGGGAGCAAAAACGCTGCTCTCACAACAATGATGATAGTTGCCGAAATACTTAAGAGTTTGTTGTAAATTTATCTTTTGAAGTCTTTTCTGGAAATTGTTGAGAGTCGATGCAAATTTGGATGGTTTCAAATTTCAACCGGGGCTCATTCAGCTTTCTCCAGGTTACTAAAAAAACTCAGCTTTTTTTGTTGAGATTAATTAGCGGGGTGAAAGCCGGGCCTGAAAACTTTGGTTCGTTTTTACGTGCCACGGCCCATTTCGGTAGCACAGAAGAGGAGCAGAAAAAAAACTAATACCAGAGGCTCATCCACGCCACCGCCGCCGAGGGTTCCGATCTCGCCGAGGGTTCCCGGCGGCTTGCTCCTCCGCCCATCCGGCGGCCGGTTCTACCCCCGTCTCCGGCCCCAACCACTTTCCCCGCTCCACGCCAACGGCAACCAGCAAGAAAATGGCGTCACCTCTGACGGACATCCCCGACCACCTCCTCGCAGAGATCTTCCTCCGGCTGCCTACCCCGGCCGACCTCGCCCGCGCCTCCACCGCCTGCGTCCCCTTCCGCCGGCTCGCCACCGAGGGCTCCTTCCTCCGAAGGTTCCTCAGCCTCCACTCCCCGTCCTTCCTCGCCTTCCTCAATGAGGGCAGGTTCCAGCCCGCCCTCCCGCCTCACCCCTCCGCTCCTGCCGCCCGCGCGCTCGTCCTCGCCGCCGATTTCACCTTTTCCTTCATTCCCTCCCACAGCCGCTGGATCGTGCGCGACATCCGCGGCGGCCTTGTCCTCCTCGACCGCGAGCTCGAAAAGGACGAGGAGCCCACCAACTTCCCAGAGCTTGTGGTGTGCGATCCCCTGCACAGGAGGTATCTCGTGATCCCCCAAGTACCTGACGACCTAGCCCCTTCTTTGGAGCACACATTTCCCAGGCTACCAGGGCTCGCGTGCGTGCCTTTCCTCCTTCCCCTCAGCGAGGAGGCAGCAAAGGAGGAACAGGCATCATTCAGTGTGATTTGGTTGGCATATTATGAAACTATGATGGCCGCCTTCGTTTTCTCTTCAAGCACTGGACAATGGAGAGCTGCTGCATCAAAGGCTTGGAGTGATTTGGCCTTTGGCGATCTCGAACATTTCATGGCGCCAAGGATCCCACCTTCGTGTATGAGGCGCCACTATGCTTATGGCGTCTTCTACTGGGACTTGCTGATGATCACGAGCAAAAAGATGCTCGTGCTTGACACCAACAGGATGGAGTTCTCGGTTATCGACCTACCGCCCGGAGAATGGAGCAGAGAAGGTTTAGCCATTGTAGAGGCAGGGGAAGGCAGGCTTGGGATGTTTGGTTTCCGTGGTGAAGTTGCATCTCATCTCAGGTATACCATTGCACAGAACAAAGGCACGACTCCTAGACAGTGGCAGATGGAGAAGACAATTGCACTAGATTCTGGCTACAAGTATTATATCAAAGCTGCAACTGAGAGGTATTTGCTATTGGTAAGGACACAACGCTCATCTGTAGCTAACCCACTCTATGAATATCTCTCAATGGACATCAAGACGTTGCAGCTCCACATGTTTGTGTGAAACAATACCAGCCTACATTGCTCGGGACGCACATATATACCAACTTCCCACCATCGTTGTTGTCTTCACCGGCAATATGAAGTGGTAAACTTTCTATTGCATACTTATTGTCACACAACTTGTGTAATGCTTGATCGTTCATTATTGCAATTGATAATTCTTGGTTAGATGGTTGAGTAGTGTTTATTCTCCTCTGCTTGTGAGAAAGCTAAGCCAGCTTTAGAACATAACTGTTTTTCATTGTCTTGTTTGTTCCAATTGCCATTTAAGAGAATGAAGTTGGTAAGAAACAATATCTTGCACACTATGAGTAGCTTATGCATGAGTCCTGATGGAACCTCGAAAACCTAGACGACGATAAATATTTCCGAGTAATTTTGATGGTTAAGGTAATGTAGAAGGAATTCAAGTGGATCCAGTTTAGCTCGAATTGTTTCACCACGAGAAAAATCATTCAAGGTGCGCACAAGTCATTTTTACACTTCTCTTGTGATAGCTATAGGAGGCTGAAACGTTTTATTTTAGTCATCTACTCATCTTCATATGTATAGTTTATCTCACGATGTTATTTTGACATAAATCTGCATAGCTGGTACGGTCACAAACAAGATCCTGAGTCGCTATAAATATCTAAATAATAAGAACAGCTTGTGCGCGCAAGCTGTTTTATCTGAAATCAACTTCATAAGATTAAGATTGCTTATCTTATCATTGCACAGGCAACCAACATTTTTGTCTGTTACTGTCAATCTCGACCCCAGATCCTCATATCATGGCTGTACTACTAATTTAGAAAAAATCAGTTGAGATGATTGACTGAAACTTAAGGAGTTCTCCGGTGGCTGAACATTAGCAAATCCGTAAGATTAATTAGAGGCGGACAAAGTTCTGTATTTATTTCCCTTTAGTCACCCATTTTTGTACTGGGGTGTTAGGTGGCACACATTCTGTTTAATATAAGTTTTTTATACTGCCTGTTGTGTATATGAACTCCTGCAACACAAATGTACCAGTTCTGCATGACTGAATTTTTCATGACTCATTTTCGTTATGTTCATACTAGTATGGCTGTGTTCCAACGTTGAGTGTTTGCAATCACATGTTTCAAATTCGGTTGAGAACTTGAGATGAATGTTACCAATGTGACAACACTATTCTACCTTTTCCCTGTGATACACATATACTGTACTACCTAAGTGCCTACAGCTAATTACTTTAAGCTCGTATAAGCTCTTCAATATGCTCAAATCGGCATAAAATTTTCTTTGATGTCTGAGCTTTCTTTGTCTTGTTTGTCCAGATTCGATGGAGTCATCGTCAGTTCAGATTTCTGACTTACTTCTAGCTTCGGGTTCTGTAACACAATTGTGGCTGCTCTCTGCCTACAATGTGACAGTGAGTTTCATTCAATCAACCACTGTGGGCAAAGCTAGCTGCTGTATATTTAGTATTTACAAGCCACATCGTTTTCTTAATTATTAGAGTTTGTTATTGTAACAAATGAAACCTGAGAAATGGCAAAACTATTGTACTCCCTCCGTTCGGAATTACTTGTCGTAGAAATGGATGTATCTAGACATATTTTAGTTCTAGATACATCCATTTCCAAGACAAGTAATTCTGAACGGAGGGAGTACTAACATAACTGAAACATGACAACACCATAGTACAGGTCTCAAGCAAGGTAAGGCCTTGTACAATGGGAGATGCTTAGGGAGGTGCTTAGAAAAATAAACCGAGTTTTACTGAAGCACCGGTGCCTATTTCTACAGGAGAGACGCTTAGTTAAGCGTCTATCCTGTACAAATAAGCACCGGTGCTTAAAAAAAGCCTGGTTTATGTCTCTAAGCACCTCTCCTAAGCACCTTCCATTGTACAAGGCCTAAGAGTACACAATGCGTGGGGTGGCCTGTGCATGGCTGGCAGTGATTTGTTTCTTCGGAGATGCAGAAACAAACGGTATGAAGCCCTTGCCAGTTCCAGGGCAACGGTATATATTAGTCATGTCTAGATTTTTCCTTTCCTGTTTTCCTTCATTTGTTCGTCACACAGTGCTCAGGTAATTGTCTTGATGCAAGCTTACTCTGTTTCGGGCGAAAATGCACACTTTCTTTTGTGCTGAGCAAAAAACAAATATATAGGCAGAGAAAACAAGTAATTATCTTAATGATTTTGTGTTCTTCTGATACTGGGTTTTCTGCATCTGCTACCTTGGCGTGTCTGCCATGCATCTTCCTTTCTGGGGAGTTCTCCCCTGCTTCCATCCATCAGTAATGCACACAAATGATAAAAATATGCATAGCAAAGGTGATCCACTGTCGTTGTGGCTGCAACCTGTACATCAGGAAGAAATAAATTCTTCACATTTTATCAGCAACTGACTTACGTATGGTAAATGACTGAACTGCAGAAATTTTCTTAGACATTGTTGCACAAACCATTTGGATTTGGGGACCGTTTAAAATGGGGAGAGGACAGTTGTTTGGAACGTTTCTGGTCTGGTAATGCACCTTTTTTGCATTTTCGTTTCCCTACTCTTTTTTGTGAATGTGGTGATCCAGACATTCAAATTCCTGAAGCTTACTGCAATGGGGAGTTGGTGATGATCTCTTTCAGGACAAATTTTGGTGTAGGAACGAAGTACGCGAGCTTTAGGGTTCTCTTATAACTGAAATTGGAAATGTGCACCTAGCACCTGGATGTGAGTCTAGAGTCCCATCTCCCATGTTGAAGCCGGTGAATTCGTTGGATTTGTGCTCTTCTGGTGTGGTATATCTGGATTTTGTCTAAATGGTGTGGCGGTTATCGTCTCCGATGGCATCATCTGTGTACGAGGGAGTGAATGTGACCATGAACTTAACATTTTCAATCAACCAACAACTGTGGTAGAGCGTATATTTCCATGTCACATTTTGTCTCAACTAGAGTATTTATTATTAGACTTACTGAAAATGATTGAGTGTCCCTAATTTTCATTTTTGAGGGTGAATAAAAGAGAGCTTTATTAGTAGTAGGAAACAAGTTGGTGCATAGCGCCCATAACATCACCAGCAGTAAACTCTGGCACATGGAACTCCCATTTTACCCTACCAGAGTCTGCAGGTTTAATTCCAAATTTAGTTGAGCCTTGTTTGTTTGTCAAACGCCAAGTTGAGGCAGACAGACAACTAGTCGCAACTGGAGAAGCACGCACAGTGGGCTGTGGATCCTTTCTTCTCAGCTGGGCATCAGTTTCCTCAAGTTGAGAGCCTCTAAATCCACCACTGTCAATTCCTCAGCCAAGTTCAGGCGCATAGTATTTCATACTGTACGAAGATGGACATACTACAAGGCAGCGACCGTGATTCTCAGGCGCACCACTGCTTTGCAGAGTACGCCTGCCTGACCAACTGAATGTACATCACCGATCTCTATATATCGCATTCTTGAGTAATGGTAGGAACTTTTACCCTACCAGGCCTGGGACGTAAGCAGTAAGGGAAGGAGGGGGCTAGGCGAGGCAATGAGCGGTCGCGCCGGCGGTTGGGCGCCGTCGCGGGAGAGCAGGATGGCGGCAGCGGCGCAAGGCCAGAGGGCGGCTAGGGTTCCGGCTCCTCTGGGAGCCGGGCAATAGAGATAATATTCTTATTGCTTAATTTCAAAAGGAGTCTTACAGCCTATATTTATATCCTAGATAACTTGCATAAGAATTAACCTAAGGTAACTTGCATAAGAATTAACTAAGATAACTTGTGGGCTAAGATGCCCGGTGGGCCTAGCTAAACCGGCCATAACACTTCTCCCTGCCTGCACAAACAGCTCGTCCTCGAGCTGTAAGGTGGGGAAGCGCTTGCGGAACTCCTCGAGGCGATCAACCAGCGTCCAACACCTTCTCGACAGCTGGGGCGGCCAAGTCAGCGGCGACGGTGTTCTCCGGAATGTAGTCTGCAACCTCTAGGTAGAAGAGTCGCGGGCAGACATGGCCGGGCGTGTAGGGCTCGTCGCAGTTGAAGCACAACCCTTGGCGGCGATGTTCGAGGAGCTCGGCTGGGGTGAGCCGGCGGAACGGGCGTCCCGCGGTCGCGGCGAGGGGTGCCGCAGAAGCCTGCGCAGGCCGACTGTCGGTGTCAAAACCGGCGGATCTCGGGTAGGGGGTCCCGAACTGTGCGTCTAGGCGGATGGTAACAGGAGACAAGAGACACGATGTTTTTACCCAGGTTCGGGCCCTCTCGGTGGAGGTAAAACTCTACTCTTGCTTGATTAATATTGATGATATGGGTAGTACAAGAGTTGATCTACCACGAGATCAGAGAGGCTAAACCCTAGAATCTAGCCTATGGTATGATTGTTGTTCGTCCTACGGACTAAAACTCTCCGGTTTATATAGACACCGGAGAGGGCTAGGGTTACACAGAGTCGGTTACAACAGGAGGAGATCTTCATATCGTATCGCCAAGCTTGCCTTCCACGCCAAGGAAAGTCCCTATCCGGACACGGGACGAAGTCTTCAATCTTGTATCTTCATAGTCCGGGAGTCCGGCCAAAGGTCATAGTCCGGCCATCCAGACACCCCCTAATCCAGGACTCCCTCAGTAGCCCCTGAACCAGGCTTCAATGACGACGAGCCCGGCGCGTAAAATTGTCTTCGGCATTGCAAGACGGGTTCCTCCTCCGAATAATTCATAGAAGATGTTGAACACAAGGATAGTGTCCGACTCTGCAAAATAAGTTCCACATAACATCGTAGAGAGAATAATATCCGCACCAATCTAATCTGCTGATGTATTCCGCAGCGTGACATCACGCCACGGCCAAGTCTTTACTTGAATCATTTTACTGTTCCACCTTAGCGCGTTTAGCGAGGCAGTTTCCTTGGCACATCTCGTCAAAGCAGAGATCGTGTCCCCTTATTCTGGGATTCTCATCAATACGGGCATGGGAAACCCAACCGCGTCATTAACCGCGGCACTTGGGAGATAAGCAAGTTTTATTAGGCCGGTGGGGGCTCGTAGTTTTGGCCG